CCCCCACCACCACCACCCACCACCACCCACCACCACCCACCACCACCCACCACCACCCACCACCACCCACCACCACCACTACTGCGACGGCTTTGCATAACATATCTTTAACCCCCAATCGGCTGTGAGAGTCCCGAGAAGATGGTCATGAGGAAAGGTTCGAGAGTCTGCTCAAAGCCCAGGATGATGAAGACCAGATACCTGACATGCCGCTGCCCCCGAAGATCCAAGAGAGACTTGACCACATCTGGTCCAAATGGGGGAGTGGAGCAGGGATTCCGGGAAGCTTTTATGAGTACCCTGAGCCCCTGAAAGCCCCGTGAGTTCACTTCAGGCGCGTGGACAAGGCCAAAGCGCGCCTTGAGCAGTTCGCCGACCCGGAGTCACTGAAAGCGTGGTTGGGAGTTGGAGTTGAGAGCGCAGGATGTATTAGGACCGTTAGGGTTTGGGGGGGGATATCGATGCTAGACTATAGACCGTTCAGCGACTATGAATTGGACATAGGCTTTGCATTTAGGCGTAGCGTTGGGTCTTCACGATGCAGTCCTCTGCATGTGTGGATTGCCGTTCGGATACGGGGTTTAGGATGTGAATCGTTCAACGTCTAACGTTCTTCTGTCTGTGGCACAATCATGGTCAGTGGCCTCACGCATTGCAGTCTCACAGTTTTTCCAAGCCACAAACGATGGTCTTGAACGAGGGCAAGTAGACGGAATGCAAGGGCTTTGCTGACACGACTGCAGGTAAGCAGTGTCTGGTTTTGTGATTCGACCATACTACACTTGTACTGCGCTACGCTGCGCTATGCTATGCCATGCTCTACTCTACTTTGTGTTCAAGGTGTCGTTAGAATTTTGGTGGCCACGTATGGATTCGAGGTAGCAGTCGCTATCAGGGATTTGAAATCCTCAGATGCTCGGTCTGCTGCGGAGTCCAGATTGCTGAGTAGGCTCCGTCTTATCTGGCAACGACAACAACCGCAAGTACGACGACGACGACTACTACTGCTACTACTGCTACTACTGCCGTTTGTGCTGCTTCTGCTACTGTGTTGTGCAGGCCTTCGACGGCGTGGGCGGTGGGGGTGGCGAGGCAATTGGATGGCTCGAGGTTCCCCGCGAAGAAAGGAAAGCTTCAGACTGGTATTCGTCGAACATTTGCTGTTCGCATAAATCTTAAGCAGTTCGGTTGCCATTATATAGCTGAGTTATTTCTGGTACCAAAAACCTTGTCACTGCTCAATTGTCAATTCGAGCACAAGCCAATGCCAATTAGCTTATCTGTGATGCACATTTAGTCAATAGGCAGTCATATGTAGAATCTAGTTAACCCAGGTTGTTTCTCGTAGTCCGCATGGCACGTATCATTTGCACATAACCAGCGTTTAGGTACCCTTTAATTGCTACTTCAACCATACTTATTAAAGATAAAGCCTCTATTCAATAAAATACTCGTCTAATATTTGAGTAGGACTGGCCACATCTTCGCAGATATATCACTCACTGCAACTCCAAGACGGGGTTTTGTTTAGCGTACAGTCTTGAACGTCGTATTCACGCGGTGATTCACGAATATAGCGTTGTACAGTAGTTAAAGCTCATCTGAATACTCTCTTGATGCCTGATTGATGTTCCGTGCCGAGTTTCCCACTTTACAATTTGCAAGTATCAGCAACAAAATCAGTAGTCAAGCTGCTGCGGAAAGTATTATGCTAGGTCATGATCGCGATTCTGCTTTATCTCTTGCAGACTAAATCTGACAGATAAAATTTAAGGCTGGAACCTGTCGACAAACCTTTGATGCCCTTACAAACAAGCTTGCCGGTAATTGGAGGTTAACGTAGACCAACTCTGGATTTTCCGTCAATTCTGCTAAGTCTGATTGAAAGGCTACGCAATCGTGAGACCGTATTCAAGCTGCCTCATGAGCATTCGGAGCCGTGTTAAACTGCAGCAGACTGTAGCTTGCTTAAGACTCATCGGCAAGTGGAAGACCAGAGTTTACTTATCAGGAACCCGGGGATGCGAAAGTCGAATCCACAAGCGCCTGTGCGGGTTTACACGATACGAGTCGAAACGACTGTTCAGGTGCCTTTGAATGACACCTTCAGCGTCTTCGTGTCCCAGGTCCCGGGTGCTGCGAACCGCTTCCAGGAGATGTTGCGTCACTGGGCACAAGGAATTTCTATGATGCTCCAGCGATAGCAGTGGCGGTGGTGGTGGTGGTGGTGGTGCTTGAACCTGCTCCTGGGGAAGATCACATGTCCGGCATTACGACTTCAGATTTAGAAGCACGCAAAAGCGAAGAAGTCCCCCAAAAGGAACTTGGATAAGGGCCGCTACACTCCTCTAGTCTATGTCAGGGCTATGAAGACACTGATTTTCCAACTTTCCGGCTGGCGCCTTCTAGCTTCGGGCACTCCCTGGGGCCTGAACTTTGGAGGGGATGGTGGTAATCATACTCTTCATAGTACGCCTTTTAGGACCCCTTACCGTACTCCTTATAGGAGCCCTTGTGTACCGCCTTGAAGCCATGCATGATTCAGCAGGCTCCCTAGGCTTTCAAGAATCGTTTTCGGCTCGCTGCAGCGAGACAGTGGCTGATATTCGGATGTCAGACTTTGTTGTTGCAGACTATCTTTGCAAGACCTGCCGGACTACTTCCACGGCATGGTTCCGTTCCGTTGGAGCGCAGACTGTAGGGCTCATTGGGTGTATGGTGCTCTACTGATGTGGAGAGTAGAGGGTCTTAAGCAAGTAGTCTTATTGACCACTGAGGCCCGTCAATTAGGCTGTGGACATTGCGGCAGCTTCTCCCCTTATGTTCCTTCGCTGAGGCGGCGCCCCTGAAGTGACGAACATCACCACTGATATCCTTCAAAGTGGCGACACTGTCTGGCCGGCATCGATCATCTTGGATGCTTGCTGAGAAACTGAGAAGAGGGGCGAATTGCAGGCTCATTAGGTGGCACAGGCAACTACCGCTAAAGAGCTTCCCACTTGGGGTGACAGTAGCTGGCAACAGAAAGCCGGAACCTTTCGACAGCCTTGGGCCTGGGAGATTGTGCTTCCTAAAATATTTGAGGCGCGATGGCTGGCAATCCAGCCGCCGGTGGTGTCGATGGAAGGCGGTGGGGTGGGTTCCCGGAGTATTCTTGTTCAGTCTTGTCTCCTCGTTGTTGTCATTGCAGTTGGTGCTATGGAGGTGGCGGTTGGTGTTACTGTTCTGTCACACTGGCGACAAGCAGAAGCCGCCGTATTGGCTACTAACGGCTACTAGTCGCTGAGTAGTAGTGTCGTCGTCAGCAGCATTGGCGTTTGCTTTGATCCGCTTGAACCCCTTCGGCTCAGGCTTGGCCCAAAGTCACACGATCCTCCTTCCTTATTACTACCTGCGAAGCGAAGCAATGCCGGGCATGCCGATGGCAGAGAGTCCAAGCTCGTCCTCTGCCGCGTGGTGTGTGTTCTACGGTGTTGGGATTATCTGCACCCTGGTTGTCTACGGGATTCTCCAGGAGGGCATCATGACGGTAGCTTACGATGGCACCCTTTTCAGATATTCCGTCTTCCTCGTTCTGTGCAATCGACTGGCAGCGGTGGCTTTCGCAGTTGCCATGGCGATCGCGAAGGGCGAGTCCATGAAGAACGAGGCCCCCTTGTGGAAATACCTCGTCGTGTCCCTTTCCAACGTGTATGCCAGCTCTTGCCAGTACGAGGCACTGAAGTATGTCTCTTTTGCGGTGCAGATGTTGGGAAAGAGCTTCAAGATGATGCCAGTCATGATCTGGGGCATGATCATCTCCGGGAAGTCATACAGCGCACGGGATTGGATGGTGGCCCTGTCCGTCACGCTGGGCTGCACGGAGTTTCTGATGACGGGCCCAACACATTCCAAGGTGGATGCTAACAACAGCTTCAAGGGCTTCTTGTTGCTTGGTGGCTTCCTGGCCCTCGATGGCCTCACATCAACATTCCAAGACAAGCTCTTCAAGGAGCACAAGACGACCAAGTACAACCAGATGCTGTACATCAACCTGCTCTCCGCCAGCGTGTCCATGGTTACCCTTTTGGTCACTGGTGAACTCTGGCCAGCTACGGCTTTCGGCTTCGCCCATCCACGCTTCTGGTTGGACTGTGGCTTGTTGAGTGCGTCGGCGGTGGCGAGCCAGTTCTTCATCTATTCGCAGATTAAGGAGTTTGGGGCCTTGGTCTTTGCGGCCACGATGAACGTTCGCCAGGTTGTGTCCATCCTGGTCTCCTATGTCAAGTATCACAACCCGGTGACGCACTTGCAAGTTCTAGGTCTCTGCTTGATCTTCTCGGCACTCTTCTACAAGTCGATTGCGGCCATGGTACATGCGCCCAGCAAGGACGAGAAGACGCCCATTCTCGCAGATCCCAAGGATGCCGTGCAGTCACCGGGAGATGCAGGCAAAGCCGTTTAGGCTGTAGCTTGGGCGTACTCTGGCAGGTCGTCGGGACAGCAGACTTAGTTTCCTGTTGCTGACGCTCTAAGATATCGCCAGCGGTGCCTGCAGCCTGTACTCAGTACCGGGCAGCTTCCGCAAGTGTGGTTTTCCGGTTTTCCTGAGAAGTATAACTCGTAGCAACCAGTGAGATGGCTAGCGGCTAGAGCCACTCCTGAAAAGTTTGCATTAGCTTGTAGCTACGTTGTCCAACCTCCGCTGTCGGGGGCTGGGCACGTTGCATATCCAGACGGTGTAGATGAGCCTATCTCCCATTGGCAGTGAAGCTTTAGCCTGCACCGGCAAGGAGCAAACAGAAAAAAATCCAAAGAGTGAGCAGGCTCTTCTGAAAGACTCGTGAGCATTGATTTGAAACACTTCGAGCTGTACTGATGGGTGAGGTGCTATTCCGGCACTTGTCAACTGGTTGGCATAGGTGAATGAAGGGATGTAGGGCGAGTTGGGTATTTTGCCGAGCATCTGAGCCAGTTATTAATCACCCGACAATCAACCTAGCTTCCGGCCCTCGAATGCACATCCTACAAAATCCTCCAAAAACCCGAAACCCTAAACCCCTAAACCCTGTCGAAACCCCTAAACCCTAAACCCTAAAGCCCGAAACCGGGCGGGTGGGAAAAAAAGCCCGAAACCCCCGAAAAGGCCTCAGCGTCCTTGAGTTTGGCTCGGGCCTTGGACTCGGTGGCGTGGCCTGCGCTGGCTTCGGTGCCCGTGCAGTGCTGCTCCAAGACAGCGCCTCGGCTGTTGTGGGTTTAGGGTAGTTTAGGGTTTGAAGGATCTGAGGGGTGGCGTGTGAACGGGGCTTTACTGGTTGGAAGAAGGGAAATATTAGGGCTTTGGGCTTTGAGAGGTGGGGTTTCGGGTTAGAGTCAGAGGTGCTTCCTGGGTTCGGGCCCTTTGCGGATTTCAGACTGACGCTGTTGACTAGCGGCGTGAGTTTCGACGTCAGCTTGCCGCTCTCAGGAGATCCCGAGTGCCTTAGACAAGCTGTCGAGTCTTGGCCATTTTGGTGGTTTGGGTTTTAGGCTTTTGGAGGGTTTTAGGCTTTTAGGTGTGTGGGTTTCGATGCATTCCGAGGTCCAGGAGTGGAGGGTTTGGGCAGGTTTGGGCTGCCGCAGTAAATCGGGTCGCCTGTCGGGACTGAATGCTACGGCTTCCACTAGCCCAACCTAAACTGGCCTGGTGGTGCTGAGCGCGGAGTCCAGCAACGAAACCCATTGCGGACCTGACAGGAGCACCCCTGACATATGCACAAGACGAGGCCAGAAGGGCCTTTCCAACGAAGACCACTTGCTTGGTTCCTGCTGGGTCTAATAAATGTGAGCGAAAATTATGGAGCTAAAACGATGGAGTTCCTAGAGAAAACTGAGCAGCTCTGAAGCAATCTAAGGAGACGGCAGTGCGCAGTGGTGTGGCGCAGTGGATCACCACGCTTAGATGCGACTACAACGAACTGCCGGCCAAGCTGGCAAGTGGCAAGGAGCCTCCAGTGTTTGCGGCTTGGGGTTAGGGAGTTTAGTATCAGTAGTGGCCTTGATTTGATCAGAACCATATATCTCGGGGTTATTGAATATATTGCTTCCAGTAGAACAGTCCCCGAGTCCCCAAAGCCCTATTCTAAGCCTAAGCATGCCGTTCGGGCTTTTGGATCTTCAGGCCTCATGGCTTCAGCTGACTGCTGATATCGAAACCTCGGGCTTTCGATGGGCTCAGCACATCTTAGTCCATCCTTTGTTCGAATTTGCACGAGACTCACTAGACCAAGAAGAGCTAACATGAAGGGTTTCGGCCGGTAACGGCAGCTTGAGCAGGTGCCGTAGCGTATCTCCTCGGGAGCAATATCCATCGGCTGCATTGCTGCTTCTTGCATATGCTGCCCGCTCCGCAAACCCCCAAAGTGCCGAAATCGCTACGCGAAACCCGCCTGGCCATATCTCCGAGAGCAAAGGTGCGGCTACTGTAAAAATGCGACATACTTGGTGCTCCATAGTGAAGCGGCACTTGCAACTGCTCATACAGCAATGGGGTCTCTTCAAGTGCCCATGAATTCTGGATTGTTGTTTTTTCGTCTGTGATTTTTGGAAGATGTTTTTTCCTTAGAAACAGTAGCTGAGTGAAGCCGGCGACCTATGAGGCCTATGTGGGGAGGCTGCAGACATATCCAAGCTAAAGGGGGCCCACAACCACCCTAGACCCTAAACCGTCAACCTGTGAGGCAAAAAACCGTCAACCTTCAGAGGCAAACAAAGACGCTAAACCCAAGTTAGCCCTACAACCCAGAACTCAGCCATCCCTAGGAAGCACTTCGGGAGTTCGCGCCGCCCGATGTCTTCGTCGGCTGCGATGTGCTTCTCAACCAGGCAAGTAGATTTCTCGTACTGCCCTAAACCCTTGTGTGGAGCCTTGCCTGCCTGGTGCGAGTGCGAGAGTCGAAACCCAATACCCCAAACCTGGAGTACTTTACCTGGCATGGGCAATTTGCAGGGTTTAGTGGGGTTCTGAAGGGCGTGTGTGCTCTGCTTGTATTCGATTCTACTTGCTGGTCAACAGTTGTCTGGACGCTTGGTCTGATTCCCTGTGTCCGGGCTTCAAGCTCTGTGATTTGGAAGATGCTGCTTTCTTTCGGCACTGCCCCAGTTGCTTCATGTTGCTTCGCATGCTGTGCTGTTGTTTCTGGTGAATATCTGTGCGCCACTGCGCAGGTCTGTCATGACTGGTGTTTTCTGGGCGACTCAGGCTGCTGCTCTTTCGGAATGCCAAAGGGAATCGAACCTCGGACATCTAAACCCTAAATCTCAATACTACGAGGGAAAATACTACAAGCCTCCGAAGCCCAAAGCGTCTAGCTACGCTAAGCCTGCTGCCTGCCGTACCTTACCAGGCGAGCGTTGAAGAGATCGTCTCGGTGCTGAATCTCTTTCTGCGCTCTCCCTCCCAGGCTTTAAGTGCTGAGGGCTTTTGGCACTGTTTCGTTGAAGACTCGGAAGTTCTTACAGCTGAGAAGGTTCGGGAAGCTTGGTTCAGAGCAGACTTCACTCATCGATCGAATCCTGATCTACGCTTCGGATCGAATGTTTTCTTCTCATGATCACAGACTCATGAGCCCGGATTCTAGGGGCCTGACGAAGGCAGATCCTGTGCCTAAGCAATTCTAAGGCTGTCTTTGGCTTTGTTGCACCAAAGGTCCCTTGATCTGGTCGAATCCAGGCTTCCCTGGACCAGGGTTCTACAATTCGGGTGGTTGCCGGAGGTGGCCTACTTCATGGACCCCTACACGCGCCCTCACCGAAAGCTGTTCATGCCGCTTGGCAAGATGCGCCTTCGACAATCCCGTGGCCTTCTCTTTGCTATACGTCTTGGAGTTACACTGCAAGTTGAGAAATCTCTCAGTTCTAGGGATATTCCTGTGTGCAAGCCTTCGAGAGCAGCTTCAGGCCGGGAAGCTGAGGGGCCATTCTTCGTTCTACTGTAAACACTGTAAACAAAAGAACCCTCTGCCCTGAGTTTGTTCAAGCCTTAACGCTAAGCCCAATTGGCTTGACGTGCATCTGCTCTCTGATGAAATGAACCAAAGAGCTTGATGGCAGGTCACCTGTATAGCAACACGTGTTTTGGTCAGTAATCAGAAAGATCTGACTCATTCTGTGCGGCTTTCGACTGTACCCTGCAACGCGGGCTTCGTCCTAGCTAGGTGGGAGGCAAAAACACCTTTGGGCTTTAACTTTGCGCAGCAGATACATGCGAGGTGGAAACTGTGCCGTGAAAACGACCTAAACCGGCCTCTTAAACCGGAATCCTGGCGGCACACCCGGAAGCCCATGTCCACAAAGACGTAGTCTTGACACCTTGAACCATCCTAAACCCAAAATCCAGGCAGTACTGCGACAGCATGGGCTTGGTAGCCAAGGAGGAGTGGGTCTGCTAAGTAGCTCAGTAGGGGCCTTCCGTCGCGGATTTTCGCAGAGCTTGGCTCCAGTTCGGGTTGAATCAATGACAGCCTGCGATACGGGATCGACAGTTTTCCCGATGCTTCGTCGAGTCAAAACCCCTTATGGGTGTTGGAGGTTCGAGCGTCAGAGTGCGGCTTCGGCGTGCAGTATGCAGGCCTTGTCTCGTGTAGGTCTTCGGGCTGTATGCATGTATATACAGTACATACTATGTAACATAAGTACGTAGAGTTGTTGGTGCCAACATTGATGTTCAACTTTGTAATTAACCGGCGGCTGACAACCTCTGGTGTGTAGAGACAGCAGCATGCTGCAGACGAGTGCAGACTAACCCAAATGCCAAATAACATGAGAAACCTTTTGGTTGGTGAGGACGAGATCGTGACCTGGGAACCGGATTGGGAAAACCCCCTGGAATACGACAGGGAATGGGTGGACGCCCCAGTTGTTGCTACTGCCCTGCTTGTGGGTCGCATGATAATTTGGCACACCGTGTTATATTCCTCTGGATAGCCAGTCTGGGCAAGCCTTTCTGCTACTTGTCGTGCCAGTGGTATGTTATGTTTCGGCCATCCCGGCATCACTTGACGGGTGTCGCCATCTAGGGCCGGATGGAGACGTTGCAACTTAAGGCTGGGTGTCTGAGGCTTCAACGGTTCAGATGTGTTGAGCGCGGTTTTCAGTGTGTACCCCCCCCCCAGAACGTCAATCCCAAAGTCCGAGAGTCTAAGCTCTCAGCCATTTCAGGGCTAGCTGGTTTTCTGGTCCTTTCAACTTCGCCGTGCAAGGGGATTTGATGACAGCTGGCCAGAGTGTAAGCCATGCGATCGAAGTCATTATCAGAGGGCAGGTGAGCGCAGAACAATTTTCACTATTCACTCCTCGCAAGGCTTGTATGTTCGGCAGTGTTCTGAATTGTTGATGTTGGCCTCGCCTTAAGCCCCACAGCAAGGTGATGCGGCTCGTCACGGTGCGCCGGCCGTGAGATCCGTAGGCGCTCTGCGCTTTCTATAGAGGAGGATGGGGAAATGGGGATTAAACATTAGGTGGCATCTGTGGCGCAAGTCAGATCAGCCTGCAGAGCAAGCATAGGTCGGATAGGAGATGCACAAAGACGCTGACTGTCTACTTGGGTCTTGAAATGAGAGATGTCATTGTCGTTACGGTAAGTCAATAGGTGATGGTGAAGTAGCCGTGGAGGTCAAAGAAACGCCACGCGTGGAAAAGCTTCGTCAATGGCTCTGCAGTTGCTTCAGTGCTGTGGAATGTTTGTTGCATTCACCTGTCTAGGCTGCACGTCATTTCAGCCCCGCACCTCAAAGTGCTTCCCCTCCGACCCTCCCTGTGGCAGAGCCTGAACCTTGGATGCCCGCACCAATCGCTGCCGGCTCAAACCCCAGTGCCCCATCCGAATCCAAAATCGCGGCTATGAAGCTTCATCAGATCATCGTGCTTTGCACATGGGCTCTGCCAGCCTGGGCTGGAATCACAGTCCCCGAGCATGAGAAGCAGTGTGATGGCGTGAGCTGGGCATGCAGAATTGTCTGCAGCCAAGGCATGCTCGGTGGCAGAGGTCAGAAGGCAAACTGGTGTGTCGCAAAGCATTGCACCAGACAGAAAGCTGTTGCTGCAGCTATGGTCGCCGCCAGCCAGGAGTATTGTTCCAAGAAAACTTGTTTCATCCAGGAGACTGAGGCGATGGGCTTGCTGCAGTTCAGAAAGCCTCAGCAAGGCAGTCTGGTGGCCATGCAGGTGAATGCCACGACCGACTGCCTTGACGAGAAGGCTGTCTGTGGTAAATTCTGCGATGCGTTGAACTCTCCGCGTGACTTCTGCATGCCCAAGTGCACCGAGAAAGCTCATGCCATCGCAGATGCCTTGGATGCATACTGCGACAAATGTGCTTCGCCGTCGGACTACCCCACCACCACGGAGAAGGAGTACAAGACGACCACCGAGGAGCCGACTACCACGGAAGAGCCGACCACGACCACGGAGGAGCCGACCACAACCACGGAGGAGCCGACCACGACCACGGAAGAGCCGACCACGACCACGGAGGAGCCGACCACAACCACGGAGGAGCCGACCACAACCACCGAGGAGCCGACTACCACGGAGAAAGAGTACAAGACGACCACGAAGCCTGCCGTAGATGATGATATGGACGGCCGCCGGCGTCGCAAGGATCACGACAAGGACCGCCAGCCTAGCCCTGTCCAGCACTCCCACGAAATCCTGTTTGATGCCTGTCATGTTATGGAAGCTTTAACCAGATTTCCATGCAGAAGCATGAACAGTAGCTGGCGGGCAGTGAGTTGGTCCTAGGCAGGATGATAGCAGATAGTCAACCGTAGAGGAAGGAGGGAAGCCAGGAATCCAGGAAGGCATGGCCGAGCCGAAGTTGTGTTACTCAGATTGCCTTCGCTTGGTATCTTGCTTGCGAAGCCCGGAGTCCCCTGCGACTATATGCCTACGAGCTGCATCCCTAACAACGATGGCACCGTTTTTTTTGCTATCTATGGCTCGAGCTAAGATATTCAGGATTCATCGCCTTCCAAGAGCTTCGTCCGAACAGCATGTCATCCGATCCTGCCGTCTCCGAATGGGAGGAAACAGTCCCCAACCCCCCCTTCACCTCCACCTGCCACACCCCGCACGCTTTTGTGAGCCGCGGAAATTCCGCTGAACTGAAGCAGCTTCGTCCCGTCACCATTACAAGGCATTGTTTGCAACCCTTGCGTCATCTTGCGTCTTTTGTTTCTTCGAAGAGCTTCGTCCGAGCCGCGCAATGTCATTTGTGCGTTTTCTTTGCCAGCGGCTGGTGGCTATGTTCGACGGAGGGTATATCGCTCCATCACCACGCATGTAACTGCTTATCTTGAAGGTTGTCGTCCAACAGCTTGCAGACGACGGGGGAACCACTGCGTCGGGTTCAATTCCGGCCCCATTGCTGGAAGCAGCATTGCCCTGTCACGCCTAAGGTTTTTGTCCGAGCAACACTTCGTCCAGCCATTTAGTTTGTCAGTTTACAGCACTTGGCCGTTTCCCTCCAGCCCATTATCTTAAACATATCGGAAAAACACCGACCAGTACCCACAAAGCTTAAATTTTTCAGTTGCTTCCTGCAAACCCAGATTGAGCCCCGCCGCATGTCAAAAAATGCCGGCACTGCCCACTGCCCACTACCTCCCACCCGGTCTGTGGCTTCGTCTTAACTTACGGATCAGTAGTCGCAGTTTGGCAAATTCCATTGGCTCCGTAAATTTCGCATGGCCAGGGACAATGTTACTCCTCGTAATTTGTAGCAGTCCTCGTGACCATCGGCTCCTGCTAATCCACACCTGCAGTTCACAGTGTGTGTGTGTGGCACCAAGGACAACCGGAAGTGTGGAGTGGAGCTATCGAAAAACAGCTTCATGATGTCTGACCGGTGAACTTGCCAGTGCGCTCTACCTAACATCATTTGAGGTCATCATGGACGGATCCGGCACCAGTCCATGGCACACTGCTTTGTGTGCAATGGTGTCACGTGGCTCCAGCGCCAGCAGACAACCCTAAAGCAAGCTGAAAGCACAATTTTCGATTCCCAAATATTCCCAATTTGCCCAATTTGGAAGGCGATCCTGCGCTCTTAGAAAATTGAAGAGGGAGGATCTTCTGGAACCAGGTGCGACCTAAAAATTCCAGTGCTATCCGAAGCTGTAAGTTGCTTGTGAACTGTTAACCTCTCGTCCAGGACGGCCGCCGTCGCCGCAAAAAGAAGGACGATGATGATGGCGGCAGCAAGGACGACGACAAGGACGGCCGCCGTCGCCGCAAAAAGAAGGACGATGATGGTCGTAAGGACGACGACAAGGACGGCCGCCGCGGCCGCAAAAAGAAGCACGATGATGATGGTCGTAAGGATGACGACAAGGACGGCCGCCGTGGCCGCAAAAAGAAGGACGATGATGATGGTCGTAAGGACGACGACAAGGACGGCCGCCGTGGCCGCAAAAAGAAGGACGATGATGATGATCGTAAGGACGACGACAAGGACGGCCGTCGCCGTCGCAAGGATGATGATGGCAGAAAGGATGACGACAAGGACGGCCGCCGTCGCCGCCGAAAGGATGATGACGGCAGCAAGGACGACGACAAGGACGGCCGTCGCCGCCGCAAGGATGATGACGGCAGCAAGGACGACGACAAGGACGGCCGTCGCCGCCGCAAGGATGATGATGGCAGCAAGGATGACGACAAGGACGGCCGCCGTCGCCGCCGAAAGGATGATGATGGCAGCAGGGATGACGACAAGGACGGCCGCCGTCGCCGCCGAAAGGATGATGATGGCAGCAAGGATGACGACAAGGACGGCCGCCGTCGCCGCCGAAAGGATGATGACGGCAGCAAGGACGACGACAAGGACGGCCGTCGCCGCCGCAAGGATGATGATGGCAGCAAGGATGACGACAAGGACGGCCGCCGTCGCCGCCGAAAGGATGACGATGGCAGCAAGGACGACGACAAGGACGGCCGCCGTCGGAAGGGCATGTCAATGCGGCGCCGAATCCGCCGCGACAAAGATGACTGAGTGATGAGTAGTTTGTACCAGAGCTTGTTTGCCAAGATGGAGGTGGGGATGCCATGTCAGCAACAACAAGACTGCTGACTCCTAGCTACTGTATCGAGTGGACTCAGAGCAGCTATGCCAGCGATGTAGCTTTAACGTCGACATTGGCAACCTTGCTCTCCCCAGGTCTCGCCGTCCAAGGATTTTAACCGGCGTTTTGGTCTTCAGATTCTTCAGTTTTGTCGCCCGTCCCGTGCATCAGCCGAGTGCTCGTCACACGTGGACCTGGTGGCTGCGCATTGTCCCAAGTCTCGGAACAGTAAGGAAGCCGGACAGAAAGAGAGAGAGAGAGGGAGAGAGGGAGAGCAAACAGGGTTTCCGGAGAGACTTGGGAAATGCGAACTAGAAGCTTGCTTTGCTTCAGGATTCCTCGTGCACGTGGCAGCAAAGTTGCCCGGGCACTGGAACTACTTTTGGCCGGATGCAGTAAAACATGTTGGCGATGATGCCTATGTTTCCGGACATGAAGTTTGACCCCTTTAGCTGTACTGTTTGCTTTCTGGTACTGACATCATGCATGTCCTCCAGATCCTGGCATAGACCCAGTTGTGAGAGTGAGTGCGGGACGAGTATCCGAGTTTTGCTAGCTTTGCCGGGGTCTTGTTCCCGGCAAACCCGGGCAACCATCGCACGGCAGCACGCGAGAGTAGGTACCAAGAACGCCCTGCAGGTAAAATCGGAAGTTTTTCCGTGCTTGGTACGTATCCAGGAATTGAAATTGGAAACTGAATCCTACATTATATATTCAGCTTAGAAATTGAACCCTACATCCCCAAACCCGCACGTCCCTAAGCATTCCTCGACTCGGAAGTCCCGAAGAGCCGAGGCAGACCAGCACAACAGTCTGCGGGCCATTGAAGGAGACCTCCGCTTAGAGGCCGGGCCCTCTCGGAGTTGAGTATGGGGAATCAACCATACTACAAAGCTGTTACCTGAGCTTATCTGATCTTATGTAATCTAATCCAGCCTTATCTTGTTTTTTCTTTATCTTTATATGTTTTTATCCTGCCTTACATCACTTATATCTTATATTTTATTTTCATAGCGTATTTGATGTATTATACCATGTGTTACATCATGTATTATATCATGTGTATCATATGTTGTTACATCATATTATTGCATTATATTATGCATACTACATTGCATGATATTTTGTTGCATTGTTTCTATTGCCGTGTTTTACATTCCAGTATACCATGTTCTATTACGTTATAGATTGCAGGTTATATTTTATAAGATTACAGTGTCTTATTGTCTTTTTTATACTGTTTTCGTTGACACATGGAAAACCTTTGCGACGGACCCCATCTCATTGTTGCTAGTGGACAGACGTGCGCACACTCCTCACGGATGACAAGAACTAGAACGGGACCTGCCTCTCACCGAACCGCCAAACACATCGAAGTTGAGTTCAACAAGACAGCCCCGAGACCCAGACAACCAGACAACCTCGCACCCTTATGCCCTCGTGCTCGGCAAGCTGAGCCCAATGCCGAAGAGCGCTCGTTTGAAGCACTAGCTACCTGCCCTCATCTGCCTTGTTTTCAGAGAGCCGCGCGGGATCCCAGCTAGGAGTTGGAGCTTCAAGGAGCACGGCTACCCAAGCTGGAGGCCGATGTGGAGCGCAAGGAGCTTAGCTGTAAAGCTCGATGAGCGGATCTTGGGATTCTCTTTGGTGGTATTTGGGGTTCGGGTTTTAGGTGTCGGGGCTTTGGGATTGAGGTTTGCTTGAGTCAGGCTTGGGCTATGGTTCCAAGGTCCGTCGTTGCATAGTGACGGACTTGGGAAGTCACGGTTTGGCTAGTGGCTTTCTGTAAAGCCCTTCCTTTCCAGCGATGTCCTTCCCTTCGACCTGCTACGCTTTACACTGGTATCCATATAGCCACATCCTCTAAGCTGGATCACCCTTGAAAACTTTGTCTCTTTCCTGCCGCCACCTCTGAGGCCGGCGCGCTACCCGTGAACAGCTTGCACATCAGTGTTCGCAGGTGCCGAGTCTACATCTAGTAACACGGTAGGAATGGCAGGAAAAGGAAGCAGGAAGGACCAGAATGGCCAGACAGTGACGATGCCCCAGAAGAATAAGTTGAGGTGATCATGGGTTTCGGGTCTGGGATGTTCGGGTTCCGGTGTAAACCGGGAGTTTGCTTGGGGCAGCTATGAGGTTGCTGTCCGTCCACCCCACGCGGTAGGCTCAGTAGACCAACGTATCCTGCACGTGTCTGCAGCCCTAATCGGCTCTTGGCAGGAAGGATCTAGCAAGCAGGTTTGTTGCAAGACTGCAAGACACGAAGAAACAAGATGCACCACGAGGCCGAAGCCTTGCTTGCAGCAGGTCCGTGCTGCGCAGGAGAAAGAGATGCGAAGCATCCGCGAGGTGGGGGGGGGGGGATGAGACGGAGGGGCGGGGGGCGGGGGGTGGTTGTGATCTAGGGCCAAGGGCAGTCTTGGATTGCTTAGAGTCTAGAATTCCATCTCTCCCGGCTGTGGCGGTTGTTGAAATCTCCGTTTACGGAAAGACATTCCATCATGGCGGGCAGTCCGCGAAACCTGGTGGTAGAATGTGCATTCAATCTAGACAGCCTTGTGCAGGCATGGCTTTGCAGGCGTCAGTTCTTAGAAGCAAAAAATCTGGTGCCTTGTTCCTTGGATGCCCCGTGTGCAGCTAGTCCTATGATCCGCATCTGTCTGGTTGTTGCGTGCGGCCGTCTGAGCTCTCTTCAATCCTGCTCTGTCCAAGAAGCAGCCGGTCCATCATTCGCCAGATGCATAGCCAACGGGATGCTGATAGCCATGGGAAGCGAATCATGAACAGCTGCGAGAAGAAAGATCGCCCTCGTGTTAAGAGTAGTTGTAACGTGACAGGAAGTATTCTGTCCACCTGAAGTAGCGACCGGCACTACTACATAAATCCCTAGCACGACGCAATCTCCCAGAGCGAGACCCTGAATAACACTTCAGACGGGAACAAGGCCTTCGATTTGTCGTGCATACCGACCTAATGATTTATGTGAAGTCTGAGGTCCGAACCCTAACGAGTTGGAAGGAAAACCCCAAGCAGCCCGCAATCCCCCAGACCAGTTCTCTTGTGCGAGTTGCGAGAGTCAACAATGACAAATCCCCGAAATTCTGCACCTAGGCAGGACATTGGTCCAAAACCTATCACTTCCAAGACTGAACCCCCACGTCTAAGTTCCTGAGACCCGGCCGTCGAAACCCTAAAATCCACGGCCACAGGAGCTGAGGGCAGCACAGGTGGCTCGGGCCGAGGTACGCGGATCTTACACACCTTGTAGGGTTTCGGGTTTAGGGCTCGGGTCTTAGGCTCAGCGGGCTTCCGGAGAAGGTGGTGGATAGAACAGAGTCGAGTCTTGAAGGACTTCGAAGGCAGGGATCTTGGTACTCCCTGTGAGCCTCTTATGGCCTTCTTGTGCTATTGAGAATGCAGGTGCGCAGAGGAGCAGTCCCTCAGGGGGGTTCGGGACGTCAGAATCTATGATTTAAAATGTCATCACGACGATGTGGCGGAGGAGGGCAATTACCGCTTCTACTCTTACAGTCTTGCAGCTGCCCCTGTCGTCCATGCCGGACTTGGAGCGGTGACGAAGACTTGCTCCCGCCCGGGGCGATCACAACAAGCCAGTGATGATCAGGGTTTAGGGTTTAGGGTAATGATGATCTAGGAATCCAGGCCTTGGCTTTCCTCCGCGGATCATCTTGTCCATGTCATACAGTGGCGGTGTTTGCCTCTCTGTGTCCAGGAGCTTCTCTCAGCTGCCGGCACGGCCCTGGGTAAAGTCGCTGCCGGGGCCCCGCGGAGGGTGCAAGCAGCGATTAGTTCGTGCTCAACTTTTGACAGTGGCCACAACCTAAACCCAAGAGCCCCCAAGACATGGCCCCAACATTCCGCACAACCTCTGATGCCAAGTCGAAGGCAGGCTCTCCAGTACCTACCGTGGGAATCGGAGGCTGGGGTGGAGTATAGGGGGTGCTCTGAGGGTTGGTATTGGGGTGCTATGATACGAGCTCGACTGCACATGTTTCCTTGAGTCCAACTTGTCCTGACAGCTTGCGACATCTGTAGGCCACTGAGGGTCCCGGGTGGTTCACCAGTACCTATCATCGTCTTTGCGTCACGTGCATCAAACCGTCAAGTCTCCGGCATTCCAGGAGACAGTCTGCCTCAAGACTCCGTGAACCAAGGACTTGTCGTGTCGTCCTTTCGGAGTAATCCGCACAATTCTATGGCAGCTGAAGATCATCATGACCTCACGCGAGCGCCCCATTCTCATTATCTTGCTCACAGACGGCCAGGTGCCGGCTATCCTGGCAAGCAGGAGGAGGCTGACGAAAACCCATTGCTTATTGTGGAGGTTGCTTTAAATTGGAGTTCGTGCTTGGATTGGGACAGCCTGGATATGACAAAGGTTTAGGGTTTATAAAGTCTGTGACCATGGTACCGGGGATTTCGGGCACAAGCATGACTTCTCAATGAATGAGAGGCCCGGGAAGAATTAAGGTGGAACGGTGCGAAACGCAATCTCTACACACTGCTGTTGTTGTTTTGTATGGTTTCCCCGTTTCGATTTATCATGATGAAGGTTACTGCTGTGGAGCTACTGCATTATAGTGGCGCACCCGAACAAGCTGCATGCTCATCACCATTGCGTTGCAGCGTGCCTTCACGAGCAGGAAATGTGGCCCTACAGTTACATTAGCAATAAATTGCGCCCTTAGCCCGTATGCTTTACATATATTTTACCCCCAAAACTTTTTCTTATTGTCGAGGCCCCCAAACCCTAAACCCCAACCCCCCCCCCCCCAAAGTTCCAAGTTTTTGCATTCTCCGTTTATTGGTAGCTGAGTATCCATGATAGCAAAGCCTCCCTTTCCTGTCCTCGGCGGCTCTGTGTTTATATAACTTAAGCCCAATGTCCTGAGCTAGGCGAGCTTTTGAGACCAGGATGTTGGGTGGAAGCAAGACGAGCCCCGACTTAGCATATTCTTGCATCTAGGCGCCTTTGTCATTTGTTTGCTGTCATGCTTCCAGCAGAGAAGTCGGTATAAGACCATGTGCCCGCCTGGATTGTCCGAGTGTGAGCGTCGAAGCTTGGAACTTGAGAAGATGCGCCTGCAGACCGCAGGCCCCCTGAATGGGTGTTGAGTATATGGGTGCGCTGTCTTCGTTAATGCTGTGATGGCTGATCGGCTGTCGAGAGCCAATGAGCTCGCTGACTCGCACCAGAAACCCTCGCCCGGACCGGGCATGTCTGAGTGTGGGTGCTGAAACCGCCTAAGCCCTAAACTCTAAACCCCCTAAAATTGGGTCCGGTCGTGGAAGCGTCGGTCGGCTGGCAACTTGGGCTCAAATACGGGCTTCAGTGCACAGGGGGTCGCGTGCCCCAACAGGCCTGGCATTTGACAGCGCAATTGGATTTGGGGTCAGGATTTAGGGTTTCGAGATATTGAGGGTTTAGCTTGCGGGACTCTACCAGACTGCCAATTTCTTGCTGAAGGCGTCTCACAAGTACCATAGCACGGGTGAGCCTGTATGCGTGCTGCCGTGGCTGGTTTCCGCACCTCTTGTTTTTTGCATGGCTGCAGCACAGTGAGGTTCTCAAAGGTTGGTACAGGCGCAGGCGGCGCAGGAGCCACAACGCCCATGGTTTCTCCTGATTGCTGGAAACCCTTTCTCTCTACACTGCCGTGGCCATGCCAGCTTCATCTCATTATGATGTGGGTAGTTCTCTAAATGAAGGTCCCTTTTTGGGTCCTTGTTAATTGTAAGGGTGCCGGACATTTGGGACCTAAACAGGGACCCTAATTTAGCGCACAGCCCATGTGCATGAACGACGGGAGGCTGATGGCAGAGCTGGTCGTGTATGGCCGTGATAGCTGCGGCCTCTGCTCGAAGTTCAAGAAGGAGACTCTTGCTGTACCGTAGGGTTTAGGGTTCAAGGTTCAGGGTTTGGGGTATATGGGGCCGACTTAGCAAGCCCGGATGCCAGAAAGTGTACATCTTGCTGTAAGGTTTCGGGATTATAGTGCTATAGAGTTAGGGTTTTCGCACCCAGTGCCTTTATAGGGGCTCAGTTGCATTAGGTCCACGATCCAATCAAGCATTTCTGCAGTATCTCCTTGCCGGCAGAAGCAGGTCCAGGACGGAGCCCGAGGTGCGATGAAGCAAAGCAATGAGCTTCATCTCTTCGGCTTTCGTCCGGCAGGAGTGCGATGCGAAAGAGCTGAAGTACAGATGGAGCGACATCACTGTGAATGCAAATAAGGCGCATCGAAGTCGAAGAGTGTTCATGAATGGAAAACGATTCGATCCCAGGTCCCAAACTTCTGCCTGGACCCTTAGAGCCTGGCCTAAAGCCTCTTGTGGCGCAGACCTGATCCCGACCTCCTGGAGTAGCCTGTTGAAGTGAAGGCGTTCAGCGAGAGACCTCGTCTGGCGGAGTCCGAGATTGTTTGAGCGTAAACCCGGGCCCTAAATTGTGGATCGCTGCCACCCTTGTGCGAGCCGTGAGAGTCAGAACCAGAGCTCTTCTAGACGCCAATGGTGCCTCACACGCCATAAACTTATCATATCGCACCATAGTCTATTGCATTCTCTCATGTTGCATTTTATACTAATATACAACAAAATATATTAACAAACGAGAAGACATATTTAATAAAATTCTATACTACTATAATAGCACAATCTATAAGACGAGAGGCGGAGATGTCGCGGAAGCTTCGAGCTTGCTCGTGGTTCAAAGGCCCCCGGCCCAGAAATGAAGCCGGCGGTCTCCTTGGGCTTAGGGATTGGGGCTTTCGGATTTAGGGCTTTGCTGTATGTAGGGTTTGGGGCTTTAGGGTTCAGGGCTTAGCGAAGTGCAGTCCCTGCTCAAGAAAGAGTTTCGAGTTTAGAGTATACAATGTGCTTTTTCCTTGAAGAGAGACTTTGTTCAAGCTGGTCTGTTCCAGACATTTCCAGACTTCGAGACTTAAGGGCAGGAGGAAATTCCCGCAAAATTAAAATCACAATCCCTAAACCCTAAACCTAAGCCCGAAACGCACGAATGTGCAGGTGGCACCTTTGGGCTTCCGCTGGTCGACGTCTATGGGGATATGCAGCAAAGGCCCGTCATGCATCCTGCGGTGCATTTACCGAGGGTAAGACCAAAACGGACTGCTTGCTGACTTGGTTCATGCGGAACAGGATGAAGAGTAGTAGTGCTGTGCTTAGACTCTTGACGGCTGTGCAAGCAAACAGCTCGTAGAAGAAAGTGAACTCATCCCAGGCCAACTGTCGACGTTGTCTTGGCGGCCAAGAAAGCATTGCCAAGCGATGCCGAAGTGGACAAGATCAAGAAGCTTGGCCGGGCGTGCACGATGTCGGACTGGTAAGCACCCTCAGAGGTCGTAGTCTTGTGCTACAAGTAACAGTTGGAGGGGACCTTTCGAAATAAGTGACTCGATCCCTCGTCTTGGTGACCCTCGAACGCCGATGCGAGCCGGCGTCGCAAGCTGTCGTCCCAAGGAAGCAGTTCAAGGAGCTGGATGTGAACAAGGACGGCACTCTCAGCTTCGAGGCCGGGGGAAAACCCTCGGGTGCATTCAGCGAGTTGGTTTCACTAAGCACCTCTTTTCACTCAGGGTCAAATATCTCTGCTAAACCCTAAAGGCCCCCTCACGCACTTATGCCGAAGCCGACCCGACGAGATGTGGTTTGACTTGTGAGGGAAGGAAAGTTTCATCTGAAGAGACCCCTACTTGGGAAGTTGGAGCAACTGCCGCGAACATGTGCGGTAGTCTGCAGTTTCCCCCAAGAGACCGCCCTGCCTGTCTAGGCTCGTCCTTGCCATATAGGGCGGGCAGGAAAGCCAGCCCTATTTTTAAGCCCCCCAAGCCTTCAGGAGATGAAGAAGATGATGGTGACCTTGAGCCCAAAACTCTCCGAGGTCCAATTACAGACGCTCGGCCCCGGATCGGGGTCTAGTTGAGATCTTGGGGGGGGGTGGGGGGGGGGTGGCTCAGAGAAGGATCTGGGCATAAGTGGGCAGCTTCATAAGGCTTCCACGAGGGGTTCCTAAACGGGATCTAGGGCGCTTTCACTCTGAAAGATTGGACCCAGCCGACCCAGCCTTCTCCGAGTCTTTGAGGATCTCCAGAAGCGGAAGCTAAGGAAGCTCTTCTGCGCGGCGGACGTAGACCAGAGTGGCACAGTGGAGTTGGATGAGTTCATCGACTTTGTCCTCAAAGGAAAGCAAGTCGTGGCAAAGATCATTCAGGAGGGACGCTACTTGTTCCTTGCAAGTCTTGCTGATCCGTCCGTTTCAACATGCGGAAAATCGGCAAAACCAATTTCTACCGGATTTTGCCTACCCGAACCCCCACCCCTCACGTCGTTACCCCGACAATCCTCCTTTCAGCTGACAAGGACATCCTGCAGAAAACCTGCCGAGTTGCCGAAACTGGGCATTGAGGCTTCGGGTAAACCAGTACGGAGCAACAACAAAACGAGTATGGCTTAGGCACCAGGCGCGAAGGGCCCGGAACAGCCTGGGAAACTCCCCTAAACCCTAAACAACCTGAGAGGAGAAAGTCTGGAACTCACCAGCTTGCACAGGAGCCTCCACAAGGCAAGCCCTCAGCAGAAGGTGTCCGAGCAGACTGGAAGAAGGACGTTCTAGACGCTTGTCTGAATAGGTAGGCACGGCTGCCACGAATGTGCTGCTCCTGCTCTTCCTCTGTTTCTCCGAGCATTGTAGAAGTGGGTCCGCTAGACAGCTCTCAAGCCTTGTTGCCTTTGCCCTCATCCCTGCCACCCCACTTTCCATCATGGCAAGCGGTGGCTATCCGGGAGTTCGCACCACCAAGACTGGCGACGTGGCTCCCAGCGATGCTTTGAAGCTCCTGAAGGAAGGCAACGCTCGCTTCGTCGAGGGCAAGCCGCAGTCCATCAAGACCAACGCCGAGATGAGGACACTGCTGGTGGAGGAGGGCCAAGCTCCTCACACCGCCATCATCGGCTGTGCCGACAGCCGCGCGCCATTGGAGAAGATCTTTGACGCTATGCCAGGGGACATTTTCGTCCTCCGAAATGCCGGGAACACCTGTACCCATGCCGAAGGCAGCTTTGTCGGAAGCCTCGAGTTTGCCACAGGAGCACTCGGCTCCCGGCTGATTCTCGTCCTGGGGCACACCAAGTGCGGTGCCATCTACGGCGCCACGAAGGGCTACTTCGATGCCAAACTGGGGGCTGGCAGTTCTTCGGGCTCCGCCCTTGAAGCCCTGCTGCACGATCTGGGCTCTGTTGCTGAGGTGGCTGCTGGTGAGAAGGGGGCGTCTGCCGACTTCGAGACCGTGGCATCCCATGCCGTGAAGGTGAACGTCTTCCACACCATCAACTTCCTGCTGAAGTACAGCAAGAGCCTCCGCCAGCAGGTTCAGAGTGGCAAGTTGGAGATCCAAGGCGGTATCTATCAGCTGGAGACAGGCAAGGTCGAGTTCCTTGGGCCCTCGCCGGAGCAGAAGGTGCTGACGGAGGAGAGCCTTGCCTCGCTGCCGCCCTCGCTGCTCGCTCCCAAGGAGCCCGAAAAGGCCATGGTTCGCACCGCCGCGGACGAGGCGGTGATCCCGCAGAAGGCCTTGGAGTACCTCCAGAGCGGCAACAAGCGCTACGTCGCAGGCACGCCCAAGGCCCCAACTACCACTCAGGACATGAGGAAGGCTTTGGTGGACAAGGGCCAAGCTCCACATGCTGCCATCATTGGCTGTGCTGACTCGCGAGCCCCGGTGGAGACGCTCTTTGACGCGGCCCCTGGCGACCTCTTCGTCTTGCGAAATGCCGGCAACACATGCACCCATGCCGAAGGAAGCTTCTTGGGCAGCTTGGAGTTTTGCGTTGGCAAGCTCGGCAGCCGCCTCATTGTCGTCATGGGCCACACCAACTGCGGAGCGCTGGCCGGGGCCGCCGGCACATACCTGTCCATCAAAGAGGCTGCTGAGGCCAAGACGCCGGGCTGTGCTCTTGAGGGTCTCCTTCAGGGCCTGACTTCCGTGGCAGGCCAGACAGCCCAGGAGATGGGTGGTACACCCAGCGCCGCCGAGATCGCAAGCGCGGCGGTGAAGGTGAACGTCTTCAACACGATCAACTTCCTCCTGAAGTTCAGCGAGCCCATTCGGGCCTTGGCCAAGAGCGGAGACTTGGAAATCCACGGTGCGGTCTATAAGCTGGAGACTGGTGAGGTGGACTTCTTCGGGCCCTCGCCGAAGCAGGCAGAGCTCTTGGCGTCGAAGATGCAGCTCCCTCCATCCATGAGCAACGCCGCTGACTCCTTGGCGCTCATTGGTGCCCATGGCGTCCGGACTCCCGAGGACCCGCCGATGGCGGCACAAGCAGCCCTGAAGCTCTTGAAGGAAGGCAACGAGCGCTTTGCTGTGGGTGCTCCCATTGCTGGCAGAATCGATGCGAAGATGCGGAAAGCTTTGGCGACGGTTGGCCAGGCGCCACACACGGCCATCCTCGGCTGTGCGGACTCTCGGGTGCCACTTGAGTTGGTTTTCGATGGTCTGCCTGGAGATCTCTTCGTGCTCCGCAACGCCGGCAACACTTGCGTTCACTCCGAGGGCAGCGTGATGGGCTCGCTCGAGTTTTGCACCGGCGCTCTTGGCACGAAGCTCATTCTTGTCCTGGGCCACACCAAGTGCGGTGCCATCAACGGTGCCACGAAGGACTACATGGGCAACAAGGGCAAGTCCAGGGACCAGGCCTCCAACGCCCTCGGTGCACTCCTCCAAGGGCTGAACGACGTGGCCAAGCAGGCGGAGGAGGAGTTGGGCGGTTCCCCCAAAGAGGAGGAGATCGCGGTGCATGCGGTGAAGGTGAATGTCTTCAACTCCATGGACTTCCTTGTGAAGAACAGCCCCGTTCTGAAGAGCAAGGTCGAGTCCGGTGAGGTCGAGATCGAAGGAGGTATCTATGATCTGGACAGCGGCCGTGTGCGATGGCTGGGAAAGAGCCCCAATGCGGTCAAGGCGTAGTTCGAACACAAAACCCACAAGTTCACTGACAGCCCAGCTTTATGGGCTTGAGAGCAATTCCTTCACTTTTAAAGCACTGGGAGTTCCATATGCGAGACTTCTCTCTGTGTGCTCCTTCGGAAAGCACGGGAGTGATCTAGCTCACCACAATGCCTCGAGGCATTTGCAAGGTATTATACTTTCACCTGTGGTCTTGGGCACGGCCATTATTGTTGCAACTGCTCTGCTTACCAGTGCTAGCGCTTCTCTTGCTCCAATGATTAACTTGATAAGGCCTGTGTTACCATACCTTTCTTCCAGTGCCGGCTATCTCCTTCAGCAGGGGCATAGCCGAACACAGAGCACAAGCATCTGACATTTCGCAACCTCGGGCGCCGATGCGACGTCCTCTCTCAGGCCGTTGGCCCCTTTTGCCAATTGAGGTGCCTTTCAATTTAAGCCCTCATACCTCCAGACTCGCCAAATATGTGTACAAAAGCATTGCTGCTGCCTTGACCGGATGTGCCAACTGTGAGGTTCGATTCCTTCGGCCCCAAGCCAACCCAAGAAGCCAGGGGGCCATCTCCTCAAGTATCCCGAGTATGGTTACGATATGTTGTGATTATTTCTATTATCATTACCATCATTACTATTGTTTTTTAGTCTTATCATCATTGTTATTACTGCTTTTTTTGCTATTATAGCTATTAGTGCTATTCCTACGAGTGTCTGAGCCTCTTAGGCCGCCCACAACGCCTTCCGCGCCGAGCACGGCGCTCCGGCCCTCACGTGGAGTGACGAGCGGCTCGGAGAGCTCAGAGGATCTGCAAAGGGTTCCTTTAACTGGGTCCTTGTTGGATACAATTTTACAGTTTTGTTAGAAGAAAACCCAATAAGGATTCAAAATGATCATTTTTTTAATATAGCCCCAACAGGGAGCCAGTTAAGGGGTTCCTGTAAGGGCTCTTAGATTAGAGGCCAGAATCAGAGTTCAAGTTTTCCAGGGCTTTTCGTTCTGGGCAGAGGGAGCTTCTGGGTAACGAGGCCCGCTGCAAAAAGGATCTTAGGTATAATTGAGCCCAGTAGCAAAAGGTTACGTCGGGTAGAAGAATCATGAAGTCGTTGTACAGCAAAAGATACTAAGTAATCCTAATAGAAATGAGTAGAAGCGGGCTTTTTGGAGATCTGGGATGCGGGGCCCAAAAAGGAAAGTCTCCAGTCGAAAGGTGCTACCTCTTGGCCAAGAAGCAGGCCAACGCATGCCAGGAGAGGTCTTGCATGTTCCACGCTCCTCGGCCTCTGCCGCCCCCGGAACGGCAAATTTCGGTTGTCTATAAGCCTATGTATATCCTATGTCCTACTTGCCACAAGCAAGTGCCTCACCTAGTGTCATGCGACGTGCTCAATCTGGAGGTCTCACTTTGAGATCGCGTACCGCTGGCTGTAGGCATGATGTGCAAGTCTGGTCTTTCGAGGGCTTGGACCTGTACCTGTAGCAGTCCAGCAGCCTAGCAGTGGTTTTGCGTGGAGGTATGTTTCTGCTGTGCAAGGTAGCGAACATGTGAGGAGTGCTAGCGCCAACTGGCCACAAGTACCGCATCAGACACTCTTCGAACTCATTTGCCTTATTCTTATGATGATTAATATTGAAATTAATATTATTATGATTACTTTTATTATTGCTATCATTATGATGATGATGATGATGATTATGATTATTATTTTGGACATGCCGCTTTGCCCAAGGATTGCCTGGAAGGGCCGTCTGGCCGGCATGGTCAGAACATCTTCTGGCGCCTGGGCGATCGGCCTTAGTTTAGGGGAAGCGTGACATCTCTCGAGAGCCCGCTGGTTTTGTGATTTGGGGTGGGCTACAGTGTGGTTCTGTTGTGCATGTAGACGTTGTTCTTTCGGATATGGCAAGCTGGAGCATATTGGTTCGAGCTTGAGTCTGAACCATCGAAGACCTTGAACTCCGAAATCAGAATTTTGTGAGCAGTTTTCGAGCTCAGACTGGTTCGCTCTCGAATCCGACACTCGGCTGCGCAAGAAAAGATGAACGATTCCATGCACCTCCAGTAAGAGGCATGCATGCATTAAGAATCCCTGAAATGCTGAAGATAGAGACAATCCGACTCAGAAGGCAAACGCATGTTGGCCTGGTACGTTTGAGTCATTTTCCAAAAGCTGGGCAAAAGGGACACCGGAACCTCGTCTGGAGCTGTCCGAGGGTCCGATCCCTGACTGTTCACTTCATGGCCCCATGGCACAGGAAGCTTCCGCCTTTTGCTACAGGAGGCAAAACCCTTCAACCCCGATGATATAAATCTTTAGCCCTAAACCCTCAAAGCCCAGACCCCTCCAACGCCTCAGCCCTTCACTCCAAACCCAAACTCAGCCTCCGAATGGGGACGGTCCCAGGTGCTCTTCCCCGGGGAAGTCGGCAGAGGAGAGGCTTCGCTGAAAGCTGAGGGTTGAAAGGTTTGGGTGGCCTACCTGCACGATACTATAATATACCATAGAATACTATGATATACTATAAGATACGATACTCTATATATATATATATATAATATATACACACACATACATACATACATACATACATATATATATATACATACACACACTGACTGTCGTTTTTTTGGGTTGGTTTGGGGTTGAGGGTCATTAGATTTTTTTTGCTGTAGGGAGTCTTGGGGTCTTCGCAGGTTTAGCCCAAGTTTGGGGTTAGGGTTTAGTTTAGGGCTCGGGGGTTTAGGGTTTAGGGTTTACGGCTCCAACTCCGGGCGAAGTGGAAAGCCTGTTGCAAAAAGGGTTTACGGGGATTGGTAGGATTTGGCGTGACCTTGTGCTTTGTTGTTCGCCTGGCTGGTTTAGGGTTGAGCAGCAGCAATGGTAAGTGTTGCGGTTGCTTAAGGTATTGTGGGCTATTAGGGTATGGTCTTGGTTAGGCATTGAGGTCGTTGGCGTTGGGGGCTTGCGAGGGATTAGTTTCTCAGTCCTGCAAACTGGCATGCTGCGGGCTTGGAGTGGCTGGGCTCCACAGTCCATCTGTTGCACTCCTAGAATCCTAGAAGAACCCTCGTGCGGCCAAGGATGACCCAAGCATGGTATGATGAGATCAACCAACCGGGCTATGACTGGAAGAAGGCCACGTTCTCTCCTGGCACAGGACACTTCACGCAAGTCGTTTGGAAAGGACCGCCGCTTGGGATCCCAAACTTTGCAGCTTGTCATCCTTGCCGAGTTGACACCTAAAGTGTCGCAGACCACTCCGGAAGCATTCGACGCGATTCTTCGAGTTTTTTTGCCCTGCCTTAGGCGACTGCCCCCCCGCAGTCCTGCTAGTGGTTGTGCTTCTGAACTGTGAGTTGAGAGTGCTGCGAGGAACCAAGCAAGTGGGCATGGCTCTGTCGGAAGACGGTCGCTTCTGCGTTGCGAACTACTTTCCGGCGGGAAACATGATGGGGTCCTTCAAAGAGAACGTTCTTCCACGGGGCACTGAGTACAAGCCCAAGAAGGACCCTGCTCGGTATGATCCTCTCTTCATTGCCATTTATCATCAGCTCGTAGTCGCAGTGCCGAAGTCAAGGTGAGAATAAACATGCCGAGTATGCGAGCCACAACCAGAACTACAACTACCACTATCCGTGCCATGAGCGGAGACATGCCGCCCTTAGTTCCAGCTCGAGTTGCTGTTTCATCTAGTCAGAGTATCGATGCACACCCTCCTCGCCTTTGCTTCATGAGAGCCGTCGCAGGTGTTTCCCGAATCCGAATCCGTCACTCCGTCACTTCACTAGAGACCTGAACACTACCGCGAAAGTAGTTTGGAGGCATTGAAACCGCCGTGAGCAGGGGTATCCTCCACCATCTCGCTACTGTTGCTGCACTCTCAATACGATGCAGGGTTACGATGTAGCATACGTTTTCATAGAGGTTGATAGATTAGAGTGTGGCGCTGGGACTTAATAGCATGTTTCGGCTTGTACTACGGTGCTACGCTTCTGATCCGACGTCGGCTCGACCACGCCAGGGCAGCTTCCACCTTTATATTAATATGCAAACATGTACGCCGCAGGTGCCACAGATTGCAACGGCATGCTGAGAAGGGTAGTAGATGGATCATGCCATTGGCAGCGGTAGCTGCACCTGCTACACTCACCAGAATAAGACTCATCATCACAGCATATATTGGAGGCTTCAGATGCTAGTTTTTCAACAGCATGTTGTGTTTGTTTGGCAATAGGAAATGGTGTTCTGCACAATCGAACAACACCCAGCAAGAGCAAGAGCAACGGTAGAGCAAATACGATCAAGCTGGATTCGCTTCGGTATTTTTCGGAGAAGTAGTAGTAATCGCAAAAGCATTTGACCCCGACACTTGAGCCTTGCTAGACCCTCTAAGCCCCAAAGTAAACCCTAAAGGCAAAAAGCAGACATGGAGGTAGAAGTCCACGCAGCTGTGCTGTCTTGCTTCGTAGTACCTTCCAATGTCTCCTCCTATGGGGATTCTAGATGCAGACAACGCAGAAGGAAAAGAGGCCCGCCCCCTCAAAAAAAAAGGAGCAGACATGGAGTGTACAGGAGGCGCCGAAGCCTGCGGCCGCAGGTGGGTTTAGCGCCCTTGAAGTAGGTTTATAAGGGTTCCTGAATAGGCTTTGTGGCTTGGGGTGTAGGACTTCGGGCTCAGACGGTTGAGGGAGATCTTGGATGCTGTGCTTTGTTGTTGTTACTGTGTGGGAGCATGGGGTTTAGACATCTGTAGGCTTGGGGAAGCTTGGGGATTCAGGGTGTTGGAAAACGATGGAGTCAGGTTTGGGGGGGCATACTTCGTGGCGAGTCGCGGCTCTCTTAAACTACGAAACCAAGTAACCCTAAACCCGTAAACCCCATATCGAGAAGTGTGCCTTGTCGAGAGTGAGAGTCGAAATCGAGAAGTGTACCAAACCCTAAAGACTCGCCTGCATTGTTCGAGTCGCGAGAGTCCAAGTACTGCTTGCCTGTCGCCGTGGTATGGGTTGTATACCATCAGCTTTTGTTCCCTCATTTGGACCTAAGGTTTCGAACTCTAAACCCTAAACCCTCTAAACCCTACGCCCTATAAAACCTGAAAAAATAAAACCTAAACCCTAAAAGCCCCGTAAACCCTAAACCAAAAACCCTCAAGGCTCCTATGGGGGATACTCGGCTTAGGGAAGGCAAAGCCATGGGCTGTTGGAGAGGCATGGAGAGGCCTCCAAGCTACATGTTATTGGGATGTTAGGGTTTAGGGTGTAGGGTCTTGCTTGAGATTTGGCACGCCGGAGGTTCAGAATCCAGAAAGAAACCTCCACAGTGCTGAAATCTAGCTGTCCGCAGCTGACGCAGGTGCTGGTGCTCCCAGCAGTGATGCTGGAGGCGAGTCTAAGAAGACCGTCTCTGCGAAGGCCCCCCCATTCTCAGGGATCGCATCATGCGGAAATAGTACAGGGGCTTTATAATTATTAATATATTATTTTATTATGATAATTATATTACATGAATAATATACCCCAAACCCCAGTTCTAAAGGAGAGGGATTAAGGCTCCTACAGTATTCTGGCACTTGTAGCTCCAATGGCAGTAACTCGCCGGGTGCATGGGTCTTCGTTCGTTGTGTGCGTTCGCACACGCTTAGTTGGGTTGAAGACTCCGGCTTTGCTTGCTGCGGTTAGGGTCTGAGGGGTCTTAAAACATGTTTGCGCTGAGGTTTTGTTACAGGGAGTTTTGCAAAGTTTTGGGCTTGCTTCCGTGGGAAGGGATGGAGTTTGGGTGTGAAGTGGAATGTCGGATACAGTGCTTCGCGGAGAGCCGCGGCACCACAGCAAAGTGATCCTCGATATTATTACTATTATCATCATCATTATCATTGTTTTATTCATTTTAATCTTATAACACAGTAGTTTCATATACCCAAAACCCCGAGGTCCTGCCACTGTAGCATTTCCGACTTCGGCTTCTGCAGTACAAAAAGGAAACCTCGATAAAGATACAGCTACACCCTCAACCCTCCTACTCTGTTCGTACCGGAAACTCCCAGGAAATGACGCCGGAGCTCGCGGCGAGCTTCGAGGACTGCCCCTTCCCGTTCAAGGACGGGCCGTTTTGGGTTTTGGCTGTCCAGGTCGTCCTGTTTCGCGTTAAAGGAGGTTTTTCGCTATAAGCCCTAAACCTCGAAACACCTAAACCCCTTGCGTCCTGCAAAAAGAGCCCGAAGTAGTATGCCTTAGTATGCTATACTATGCAATACAGATACACAGTCTTTTTTTATAGTTTTCATAATACTATTGAGCTACAGTGTACTGTACTCGATATATATATATATATAATACACATTTATGTTTATATATATATATACACATACAGGTATATATACTTGCACATGTTGTAACGTAGCATAGTATCATACGGTATCTTATAACAGATGAGAACAACATAGAGCAGAACGGAAGTCAACAGAGCGGAACTTATGGATCATAGTAGCATACAACATTACGTGATACGATATGGCAACAACGGCATAGTATATGGTTAGCGTAAACGACAAAATATTCGGCAAGATGGCTCATTGAATGAGATAGTATAGTTCATGAACCAGTTTCGCATAGTTGAACTACGCATGCACATGCAGATACAATATGTTGCAGTAACATAATATGCTTTCCCTACTAAGCTTTTTCTGTTTCGCATGCGGAATTCACAATACTACGCTATGCGCGACCATGCCATACTGTAATTACTCCACTACATTTTACTGTGTTTTGCTCTACTATACTATATTATGCTATGCTACACCATGCGGTACGAAAAAATATTCTACGAGCATATAGAATTGTACAGATACCATCTCATGCCTTATCATGCTTCTACGTATAGAAAATACATACGTATTTCTGTATATAAGAGTTTTCCTTAGGTTACAAGTCTCAGCCTTCAGGAGATGTGAAGGCTTGACAAGACTTCTGGGTGGTTTCTGCTCTGTCTTGCATTGCTCTTCCGGGTTTCATGCGGCTTTTGAGCGGTGCAGGATCCATGTTTGAGCGCAAGCTTGCAACATGCACAGCATTGGCAGTTGCAGAACTGCTTTTGTTTATGCGAGGCTTCCTTAGACACGGAGAGGCTACGAAATCCCTGGAAGTACCGCTTCAAAGTGATCCTGAAGCGTAGAGAAAATGTGGTTACCATTCATGAATGGTAGGCACATGCTATGCTGTCCGACGGCTTGACATCCGGATCTATGTCAGCTCTCTCTCTCTCACACACACACATTCGAGTCATTCGAGACGCTTGAACCCTACTGAAAGTAAGCCCTACTTAAACAAAATGTGGCCCCAACCCTAACCCTAGACCCTATGATCCTGGTCAAAGGAGAAGGCGGAAGCTGCTCTGAAAGAGGGAGCTGAGGTCACTGTGGCTTGGCTTCACCATGGAACCACCCCACTAGAGGTGCCTGAATCATTAGAGTAGGGTTTTGGGCATATAATATGATTCAAAATACAGTAACCCACAACCACCGACGGATTTGCAGATAACATCATGGGACAGATGCTCGACTCCAGGGGTAAAGGTGTGCTCAAGGGTGTAAGGACTTTAAGTCCGATCGTGGGAGAGAGAGAGAGAGAGAGAGAGAGAGAGGAGAGAGTGTGTGCGTGTGTGTGTGTGTGTGCCAGCGAGCGAGAGCGAGTGGAGTCTCCCGGCGACTCCAGCAGAAGATATCAACAAAGCCTTCTTGAGGCCCACAACAAGAGTAGACCTCTAATCGAAGGTGTTGTTCTGCAGGTCCGGTATACAGCACGCAGCGTCTACCTTGGTTCTACACATGACAACTGAAGCCTAGAGCACTAATAGCTCTGCGACAGCTGTTGCTGCTCCTATTAAGGTGCTACTACCACCGCAGTAACAACAGCCAGCAGCAGCAAGAACGACGGCACTGCGAGTCCTACCACCACACAGAAGCAGCAATCAACACAGAGTCCGTGTACTACGATTCGTGCGAATCAATGGCGGGCTGTACGAGAAGCACTCGGCACCATATTTCAAACGGTCGGCGGAGTCTCTCGCAGCCAGGAAGCTAAGTCACTGGATCTCTGTCGTGTTTTCTTTCCAGCACTGGCAGGGCCTCGTAGTACTGACATCGTATTGTCCGAGCATAGTCTCTTGCGAATGCTTCCGTGCAGCTGAGGTGACACGAGGGGAAGTAGGCATCCGAAAGACCATCGAGGTGACCATCAAGCAGGGATGCAGCACCTCCCGCATGAGGGGGGCTTGGGGCGCACGAGGCTGATTTTAAGCCCCATCCTGGCTGGTGAACGGCCGGGATGGGTACAGACCTTGAACTCTTGGGTGGGGGCTGCCGGTCTCCGAGCTTTGCAGTGAATCCTGAACCCTCGAGGCTGATCCCTCTAAGCTCGCACTGTGATTGGCTACGTAGTTCTGCACCCATGAAATCTTCAGGTATGTTTGGAAGCATGGAGAGCACATGAGCAGCTATGTCTGGAGTATCTGTAGCTACATAAGCAAGGAATAGCAAGCGGGTGAACATCGGGATTGATGTAGATGCAGATGAGGTAGATGGAAAACAAAACATGATGCGTGTGTATACATAAAGTTATACGCATGCACACACACATATATGTACATATATATATGTATGTATGTATGTATGTATGTATGTATGTATGTATGTATGTATATGTATGTATGTATGTATGTATGTATGTATGTATGTACATATATATATATAATGTATACACGAACAAGAATGCCACAGAGACAGAGAGACGGTGTCAGTGCCCATGCTGCAGCTGCAAATGTTGGAGCTTTTCAGCCCTGTCACCCGACCGCCTGTGCGAATGAAGTGCTGACGGACAGACGTCCAACGTGCCGACGGCACAGGTTTGGCAGTACAGGAAGCAGGGTTGTTTGACGTTTTGGTGAAACCTGCTGTTTCACCCTGCAGCCTCAGCTGCACTGACACCCAAACTTAGAAGGATTTTCTAAGATGTCCTTTCCTTCACCCGATTTCCTGCAACTGTCGCCCCCTCTCAGATCAGATGCTACAAGATGCATGTACACCAGGGCTGCTGTTTTGCGGTAGAGCTTTGGGAATCAGCGCTAGAGCGTATGGATCGTATGCTGCCTGGAGGCTTTCGACTTCGGTACTCAGGGTTTTGTTTATTCGGACTTTAGGTTTGTCTCGACGATGCAGAGCTGCAAGCTGGGTGGTACATGTGAGTAGTGTGTATGTCTTTCCCGGCCAGCTGGCTGGCCACGCGGCTGTTGGTTGCTGGCCTGGTTCGTGTCGTTCAGATTTACGCCAGATGCGTGCACACTCTTTGCAGTCGCGGGTGCTCACAGCCGTCGCACCCGTCATAATCATCATCATCATCATCATCATCATAGTCATCATGATGTTCATGTGTAGCTGATGGCCCGGACCATCTGGGCCAGCCGTGTACAAGCTAAATTCGTCCGCCCCTCCTCACTGCCCTTTGCCGTCCGGTGTGGTCGGCCCCAAGAGCCAGAAATACGGCTTCCTAGGCCGAAGTGGAGCTTCAGAGACAGAAATCGCAGAGAAGAGGAGGCGCTTGAAGAAGAAGGGACCTTCAACATGGGGGCTGTCCCTTCTGTACTCTGCCCGGCCGGTTGCGGTTGGATGGTGCTGCAGAACACGATGCGGCATTGCCAGCGAGAGCCGGGAAAGAAGCATCGAGGGGGGCGGCATCTTTTCACGTTCCTTTGCCTTGCTTGCCAGCCGTCCGGCACAAGTGCAGGTCTCCACGAAGAGAAGTCTTGATGATAAAGTCGGAAGCTAGCTGCACGTGCCGCAGCGTAGGGCCTCAATATTTGGTGAGGATGGTTTTCCCGAGCCCCAAGACCGCGTGTTCGGAGAAGCTTCTTTTGTTGAACAGATGCTTGCAGGATGCTACTTCGCCCAAGCCGGTCACCCAGAGTTTGCCACTCCTTGCAGTGCAGGCATGAGGATAGGTATGTTTTGCATTCCTGCAAGTCTTGGCACCGTAGTGGGAGATGTGTTCATCTTGTATGGTCTAGGGCCGAGTTTGCTGTTGGTTGCAAGCTCCTTGACAGCTTTTTCTCAAGCCCCAGAGGGCCCACAGTCTGCTTCAGGCTCGGCTCCTCCAGGTTCCCCGGAGATGAAGGCCAGACTCCCAGTAGAAGCAAAGCAGATCCGGTCCTGGGTGCGTGCATCGGAGGCAGCTGTGAATCGAACTGTTGCCCAACCCCCCCCCCTCCCCCCAAGCCGCCAGGATCGCAGCAGCTTCCGGACACGCTGGCATGTCTTCAGAAGCGGGAATTCCGTGATGCCTTGGCAGAACGCGAACACACTGGTAGCTTCAAAGAAGCTGTTCCTGACGTCAGCCCTTGCCCCATCCTGTGGAACAGGACATGTTCTGGTGTAGGGCTCAGGCTTTACGATCCAACGTAATATAGGATAGTACAGTATGCTATAATACAGCATAATCTGATAGAGCAGAATAGAAGAGAGTAGCAATAGTTTTTTTCATCTCAAGCCCCAAAACGTGGCAGGATTGGGATCGCCTCCTGCCAATCTCCCAGCTGCTTGCGAGTGCTTCCATGGGATGTGAATGCGTTTGATGCCTGCCGCCAGCGCAAGTCCTGTCCAGATATGCTTCAGGCGCCATATTTGTGGGGTGGTCTTGTTCGTTTTTCTGGCGACGTGTGTTAGATGGCTAGGCATCTTTGTGGAGCCCCAGCAGAAGGTGATCCCTGAGTAAGAACAAGGATCACCTTTCAGATTCCTCGAAGCTCTCCAGGTTTCTTGGTAGCGGAGTAGAGAACCTAAAAACCTCTTGGGGTTTATAGAATCCTACCATAACTGAAAAGGTTAAACCCGAAGCCCTAAAATAGACCTTTTTTGGGGGGCGAGGATTTAATCAGCCCCTGAGGTTCTCTGGCGATGAAGGCATCCCATCTCTGCCGTTCGGCACTCAGGTGCTATCCCTTGGGCTGAACCTTGGAGTCGGTATTCAGGAAGCCATGGGATAAGATAGGGGCTCGAAGAATTTGGAAGAGGCTTTTTTGTTTTTTTTTTTTTGGGGGGGGGG